GGCTACTTACGTCAGTGTGAACCAACAAATAGTTCAATACACGTTAAGACAATGTTGAAATAACGACTTTGATGACAACATGAAGCTCATCTCTATAATTTTACTAGTATTTTTGTATTATATCTCTATGCAACATTTTATTTCAGCAATTTTTAACTCAGTTGTTAGATTTGGATTATTGTATTAATAAATGTTCCTAATTGACTTTTGTTGTAGTTTTCTTTAGTTACTTTACTATCAATGCAATGTATTATTGGTTTCTGAGCTAGAAACTAATGAATAGTGATCAAAGAATAAATTTGTTAGTTTATATACCCTATAACTTAATATATTTAATTCAACAATGTTATTAATATAATATCATGTTTCATCATTTCATAGTCTTGTTATATCTTTAAAACATTTTTGAGGACATTCTCATGTAACAGTTAAGTTAGAAAGTTTATTTTCATAAAAATGTTAGGTTAATAGCGTTGTTTATATAAAAAATCTTTCGAAGATTACACAGGCCAACACATTTTCACACTTATAGACCGGACTTGATGTTGTTGAAGGAATTTGATACGCTGAATTCGAATCCGAGCTTCATCACCTTCAGGTTTCGAGATATCCTAACCTAAAAGCATCAAAAATACGTTTTCTGCTGTTTTTCAACTCCTATAACTTTCTGAAAAAATCTGCAAATTTAACGACGATACTTTAAAGAATAACTTTTTCCCATTCAAAATGCCTTCTTTATTATTTCAATATTTTTTTTTGACAGAGATACAACACAATGAAGTATGATAAATTAAAATTTTCGCAAATGTCGCTTAAGCGGATGAAAGTTTCGCTTAAAAAATATCTGCTAAAAAATAAAATGATATCGCAAGTTCATTAACTCATTAATTCTGTACATTAATAGATTTACCAGTATTATCATTCAGTGAAACTTTCCTATGCTTAAATGACATTTGCGAAAATACAAATTTATTATATTTCAATGTGTCATATCTCTATCGAAAAAAATGAACAGTGCGTTTTGAAGAGTAAGAGTTGCTCTATAAGATAGCGTCGTCAAATTCACAAAAAAAAAACCATTTTTTCATAAAGTTACAGGGGTTGGAAAACAACACGAAAACGTATTTTTGACGCTTTTAGGTTAAATTATCTCAAAAACTGAGGGTGATGGATAATTCTAAGCTCGGATTCGGATTCAGTTTACCAAATCCCTTCGAAAATACCTTGTCTACTTTGTGAGTGCGGACTTTTTTCAAATTTTGTCGACCTGTGTTATTGAATTATATGAACATAGAGAAATTATAGTATTTTACAAAATAAAATTTTGCGTAGCTGCATGTTATAAAGATGTAATTATTAGTGCATGAACAAAAATCTCGATAGCTGTAACTTTTAAATATGCACCGGTATTCATGTTTTTATTATAGCATTATAATCGCTCTGTAATCGCTAAAATAATATAGTTTTTCATAAACATGTAAAGAAAATTGACTTTGTAATTAAACAAAATGTACTGCGAAAATTATAAATTTATTTAAGACGTCCTGTTAAAAATTTGAATTTTTAAGACGAATATCACGACTTTAAACACCGCTGCCTACAGTACCATCCAATATCATTGGCTATTCTGTTCACTAAAAATTTAAAACTTTAAAGTTTTATATCTCGTACTGGAGTAGTCGTGAAAAAAACACGTAGGTACTTATTTTTTAGTGTTTTACACTATCTATCAAGTGGCGTAAGTTATATGTCTATTTTTTAATTTTTTTTTAAAGCTTGTTTTCTAAAACAAAATTTCATTTTTTAACTAATATCACAAATATGTTTGTCTTGATCACTTGTTGTCTTTCTATATCCTTTTGTAATATATTTGTTTGTAATATTCCCTTTATCTTTAAATTTGTTAAAATTATACTTGACTGATCTTGGAATTTTCAAAATTTGAGAAATTTTTGATTATTTCTTCAAGCTTATGTAAAACAATTAATTCTGTACTTTTTCAACAGTAAAATTGTCTTTTTTCCCCATTTTAATTAAAAAAAAAACTCAAGATATGCAATACCAACGATAATTTTACAAATCCGGACACTAGAAAATCACTCCTGTCTGTTCTTAAAGATCAAATCATCTGAAGCATAATTTTAATGACCAAACTTATAGTTTTAATACGCTTGACTAGATTTACGTCGAAAAGTCATATCAGGTCAATAAAGGTAAATAAACTACCTAAATTTGTACTTACGTACATACAATCAACTTACATAGATTATAACTAGTATGTTTGAAATATTAGATACACACAATTTAAAAAATATTGATTTATGTTTTTGGCTAATAAGAATTCATTTTTATACATTTTACTATTTATGTACACTAATAATTAAGTTTTTAATTAAAAAAAAAAAAAAATGTAGAAAATTCCAAACTAAAAAAAATGAAAGAAAAATTATTCTCTTCTATCGTTTTATAAGTTTATAAACAGTTTTTTAACCAAAATACAACAAATTTTACTTATAAAATTTTGTTGTAAAGAGTACATTTTCTGAGATGTAAAGATTTAACACGTAACATCTATTTTTTAATAAAATACGATATAGCTCATAATAAATCATATTTTGTAAAAAAATTTCTTGGATATGATTTGGTAGGAATTTCGGACAAGATATCAAATGATAAAGACAGATTTTTACTTATTTTACTTCCCTCTAAAATAAATTAAACTAAAATTAATAATAAAAAATGAAATTTAGTGTTTAAATTCGACGTCATAGCTTTTAAAATAAAATTAAAAAACAGATATGTATCTCTCACCATTTGATAGATACTGCATAACTCTACAAAATATGTACCCGCGAATTTTTTTAGAGCTACTCTAAGTCGAGATATAAAACTTTGAAGCTTAAAATTTTTAGTCGACAGGGTGGCAAATGTTTTGAGTGGTACTGTATACTTAGTTTTTTTTCCGCTGTGTGGATAACAAAAAAAGGAAATTATTTTTTAATTTTGAACAAAGTCTAAAGAAAAGTAATTTTTAAGAAAATGTCTTAGAAACTATTCAAAAATATAATTTTAAGAATACTGAATGAATATATCTAATTCTAATACGTTAATATTAATATTTCCCATTACTAAATGATTCTAAATATTTTGTAATTCATCTAGATATTTTTTAACAGTACATATTAATAGTATAGATTACGCATTATACCCAGGCTGAGAAAGTATTGGTAAGTCCATAGCACGTAAGAATTGACAACCAGGATGAAGCTGAGTGAGTCGAAAATGAGTAAAAACTTGGTCAAAACATGATATCCGGCCAGGAAGATATTCCCTGTATTTGCGGGGCGAAGGTGGTAAGCGCATGTGCGACTATACCTTTAACATGCTTGGCTTTGTCTCGCGTATCAATATGGTGCGTCACGTCTGCACCTGCTGTCTTGAACTGCAAATTTCAGGAAAGCCTTTCCAGCCAGAATTTCGGCATTTAGTGACTATTTTCCAATAGGAATATGATGAAACATCGCATACATACCACGCCTGAAAAAAAGGACATCAGATCGACTTGTAATTGTAAAGACCGTGGCGAAACTAATATAATGTCTCATTTTTCAGCCTAAATGCGTAATATACTAGATAGACCCCTTGACCATAAAGACGGGCCATATTAGCTTATAAAAAATTATAAATAATAACTACAGCACATTTTAATAACCGAAAAGCATCATGATACAATTGGAAAAATAAGAAATAAATAACAACATATTATAATAAATAACTTATTTAAACAATAAGAATGCTATTAATAATGGTTTACAATCTAGAGATAATAAATAAATTATTTATATAAATTAAGTACGTTGTAATCTTATCAATGCCCAACACCAATCCGTTTGGTTCGTGTCGCCTCTGTTATTGAATATTTATCCAAGATTTCTTGTAGTTACGATGATAACCACTGACTCTACCTTACTCATTTTGTAGCATAGGGAATTACTTTTTTTATCATTTGCAAACGAATCATCAAATTATTACAAAATTGAAACAGTGCAATCCACAACCCTAATAGAATATATTATTAAAATCTGGAATGAATTGGTTGAATATTTTTGGAGGAGTAGTGTTCGGCAAATAAACCAAAAATTACTCGAAGAAGGGGATAAGGGTCTCCGTTTCGCTCCACCCTACTATTTAATAAGTAACGTGATTTGTACATAGCAGATATTTCAATTTTTTAAGTTTTTCTTATTATTATTGCATAATGTATAATTTTCATATTCCCCCTTAATTATTTCAGTACTGTTATTTAGTGAATTTTTCATATATATTCTGCACCATGAGCTTTTTTAATGGTATTTTTACTATAATAAATATTATATCCATCCAGAATGTAGTATTTAAAATATTGCACATTCAGTGTTTCATCGCACATATAATAATAGATTTAATTGACATTCTTTTCATCATAATTTCTAGCTTGTTAAAATAGCATTTAAGCTACGTACAGTATACTGTATTACTATTTACAAGCAATTACATTATTCAACACATTAATATCTTTAACATTATTTTGATTATTTCTTCTTCAAAAATATCTATATCACTGTTCACGTCTTTCAATTTTGTTATTAAGAATATATACATGGACATACGAAATACGTTAAAGGAGACCCTTTACTTCATGATTATTCTTTAACAAAGCCAAAAGAACTTTTTCATAAATCTTTTAAAAGATTTGATAGATCTATATGAAATACCTTTTTTATGCGTAGTTTGCGCTCTTCGTCTTTATATTTATCAACCTTTCCAATCGTATCTTTGAAAAGTATATTGAATACAATAATTTCTCATCCCTATGTATCCTTTTCTTTGAAATGAATAATATTGAGAGTTGTAATTGATTAGATTAATATTGTAATTAGAGTAAATGCTGGAGTGACACTTCACGAATATCAACTGATAATGTTTAATCTAAGCAAAGGTATGAACTTGTTAAATTACAGCTGGGATGCCGACCATGGAACCTCGGTCTAGTGAGTGTGATAGTGCTCGGCCTGTCGAACATGCTGCTGACATTCCTACTCTTGCAATCGGAGAGTTGCGTGGAGCCGCTAAACATCGAGGACAAGGATCTGATACAGTCGGATCTTCTACCCACACAATCAAATCCATGTTCATTCTCGGTTCCGTACTCTCAAGAAGCTTCGATAGATGACTCTGCAGTATTGAATCTCGACGTACATTTAGGCCATTGGGATGCCCGGAGACTCTATCGCATGTTCGACAACGTTATGACGGGTAATCGTTTCATCGATATATCGGAGAAATCGAAAGTATGCCTAGCAACGCAATCATCGTTAGAAAAGTTAAGCTCGTTGGTACAAGTTGTTCATCAGTGGACTGGTTCGATGTCGGTCGCACTGTTCGCCGCTGGCGATGAAGAGTTCCAAGTGATGCAAAGATATTTGGAATATATGCGACGCTGTTACGAGCCGATACGCGAGCGAGTTACCTTCTCGCTGGCTGTGCCGAAAAATCGAGTTCCCAAAAGGCAATCACGATACTATCCCCTACCCGATTTCCTTGACTGCCAGAAACCCGAAGCAACGCTCAATCAAATGACTCGCTCGATTTCCAATGAGCAGACTAACTGGCGTATAAGGAACGTTTATCCGCAGAATCATATGCGCAACCTGGCAAGGAAGAACTGTCAAACTGATTACGTTTTCCTCACCGACGTCGATATTGTACCGAGCTCAAATCTTAGTCGTGTACTTGAGGAGTTTTTGAAGAATGACGAGTGCGATAAATGCGCTTACGTTATACCTACTTATGAACTTGACGCTAGGGTCAGATTTCCACAGAGTAAGAGCGAATTGATCAGGTTGGCTAAGAAAGGATTGGCGAGGCCATTTCATCAGAAGGTTTTCATACACAATCAGTTCGCTACGAATTTTACGAGGTTAGTACAAGAAATAAAAGTTTTTTCAGTTTGTTCTTTTGTTATTCATTTTTTCGATAGTCTTGAGATGGAATGATGTTGCTATGTATTTTTGTTCGCCGAAGTATATGGCAATTGATTTTATTTCATTTTTATTTTTAATACTTGGAAAAGAGTTCCACGAGCTTTATTCAAATTAGCTGATAAAGATACGTTTATGCTTCTCAATATTCCGTCATTTTTAACTTGGCTTAACTCTAGATTGACTGAGTTTTTTCCATGAATACAACCTCTTTTAATTATCGGAGCTATGTATATTCTTACCACATCAGTTGTTTTGAATGTTATAACAACTTTTAGTAAAAATAGAAAGATGTCCAACATCCAACAATTCCCTAGAAAACACAACGAGCATCGAGGCAAAGTTTTGATGAAAAACTAATGAAACCGTGTCTTTTTTTCCAGCGAAGTACGCATCCGCGGTCCCTCCGGGAATTTTTCAGAATCGAAATCCCCTCGAGAAAGTCAAATATTGAGAGTTCTCTGACTCGCAACCGTATCGGTAGAATATCGTGTTTATCTCATGGACTTCTGCCATGCGCGAAGCCGGAGGTTATATTTGTGTGCGTTTATGTCGTAAAAGGTGGATGCTGGACGTGAGCGCTGGTAATAAAGGCAACGAGAACTTAAAAAACGGGCATGCCTACGTGAGCCACGACGTGACCAACTTTGAGTTCCTCTACGAGCCGTTCTATGTTGCTCGAGACATCGTGCCACCGCATGACGAGCGTTTTATGGGCTACGGATACACCAGAAACACCCAGGTAAACTATCCGCGAAACGAGTTTCCTACCTCTCGCAACGACGTTATGTACACGCCCACGTTTCTGCAATCGATTTTTCCAACTTTGCTTATAAGACGCCATATTTGCCCTTCTTATCGAGTTTTGTTGACGTGCCTTCATATATCTATTTCAAAAGTCCAACGTATTTAATTTTCATTATAGCTTCACGAATGATTTCTTTTGAAAGTAACGCCATTTGAGCGAAATAGATCTACTTTCCATTCGGTAATCTTATATCCGGTTGGTATTATTGTTCCAAATGCTCATCGTCTTTAGCTGAAATAATTTTTTTGAAAATTGTCGACAGAAAAATTACTTACTAAGTTGATTATACGTGACAGTGTATTTTCTGGACGTTGCCGTGTCCTAGCATTGAACGAATTTTATGTGGGTTTTGATTGATTATTCGCAGATATTATCTACATGTTGATTGATAATTCGAATCCACATAAAATTCGCTTCGCATAATTAAATTATAATTAGCTTTGTCCGAGTTGTGATCTATCAATTGCACTTAGGGTAGGGGAATGAAACATCATCATACATAGTATAATCGCTATATATATTGTAACTAAAATTAATATCTTATGCTAGTACATCGGTTACATAATGATAATATACTAAAAGAACGAATGCCCGACTGCTAGAAATTTGTATTCGCCTTATGTTACGCACGAGTCTCCCCACTTTGCTCGTAATGTATACTCGTGCTTTAATATACTGAGCGTTTACAGGTGTTTAATATTTCTTATATATCAAAGGAATAATTCTATGCCAGATTTAGAAAGATAATAAGCTGGTCTTCCTTCGAAATACACAAATCAAGTGCATCTTACTTGTATGCAGCTTAATAGGCAAATAACTGAAAAGAATAGAGTAACATTATCGTTCTTGAAAATATTCATTTTCGCACAATTAACACTCATATCCTGGATTACAAAATAATACACGCGTCACGTCACCACGTAGCATAATAATCCAACCACACCGGCATTGTCTCTTCCGTTCCCAAAATTATACACGAAGACAGCGCCAAAAGTGACACTAATCATGCAGACATCCGCGGCATTCACGCGCGCAAACAATGCATACATCAAGGAGTTACAATATACGTCGCACAGCTGTGCAGAACAACAGCAGCAGCGCGCGTTTCTCAATTATTTTGCAGAGTCAGACATAGATTTCGAGTGATATGTAAGGCGCGATGTTTACTGTAGGTGTAGATTTTATGGCGAATTTCGGAAATTTTGCTGGCTCGAGTAATTGCACGTGTGTGGTTGAAGAGACGAGCTGCTACCGTTGCCTGTCCGAGTTCAGATTACTCGCACGACGGGAGAGGCTAATAGCAGAGGCTTTTACTACTTTTACACGCGAACTTGCACACGTTATTAACGTTGGAAATCTCGCTCTCACCTTTTTTCCCTCCCCCCGTCGAAAAAGAACCTTCATGTGCCTTAGCTTCTTCCTTTTTATCCGACGAGAACTGTAATTTCTGAGGTTGCACGGCGATTACTATACATACGCTCACCGCGGCGGAGAGTTTGCGCATTCGTGTGAAATACGTACGTATACGCCGCCGTTGAGTTTCGAGTGCTGTTCGAGCTGCTTTTTTTCCTTGATGTTGTTTGTTTTTTGGGAATAATGCGGTGATATTTTATTTTTCAGTGCTAGAATGGCTTGAATGTCTGAATGGCGTGTTTGGCGCGTAAAAGGCTTTTTTGCTGTTCAATAGTTCGTTATTACTTTTTCCACTTTTAATTGGTTGTGGCGAATGAACATTGGAGAGTACGATGAAATGAACGCTTTTCCTATACTGTGCCATAATTTACGATCTATTATTTCATTCAAATTAAAGCTCTTCTTTATTTTCTCGTTGATAAATTATTAATGATTTGTTAGTGCGCGACAGTGAGCAAATTTACGCCGTAGCATCTTTCAAAAACCTAACTCTAAAATTTTTTGACAAGCAAGCGAACAAAAAAGCTCTTTCGCATTAGCATATATACCTCCGTCCTTAAAAAATGTAGATCGAATCTGATTCAGTCGGATCGGGTTAGATCGGATAAAACTTTTTTTCATCTCGTTATATTGCCTTCGTTATAGACTGCCGTAACGGAGAGATATACACTACTGCGACTAATAAAAAAGAAAGAAAAAATTTTTCGCCTCTTTTCATATCCCTCGATTGTTGGGAATAGCTATACGAGTCCTTTTTCATTTTCTTTCTCCTTCTTCTCTATATCTCGAGTAATACGCCTTTCTCATAAATACAATTTGGGGGTAAATAATAGACGAGATGCCCAAGAGAGACTAAATTGAACCTCAAGCCATAACTCGACCAATATATCGGTTCACGATACCTCGAGAGTTATACTTACGTGTATAAGATACTTTTTTTAATAAATACGTTATGATATTGGCGAAAAAAGAGCCAAATTCAATTCTATTCAAAGTCTATGAATCGCTTGTCCGTACATTTTTTTTCTCAAGATTATTCTTTGATAAATATTGTTGAGAAGAGATGAGATGAAATAAAAATAATTAGGATGTTTGAAATGATTATTTTAATGAAAAAAATGAGAAAGTATAAAGCAATAACGAACTTTATTATTGAACTAAATAACTGACGTAAAAAAAAACAGTAAGGACAAAAGCGGTTTTATTACAATTAAACTTTATCATTTGACGCTCAAATGGCCAAATTTTAACGTTAGCTTTAAGCTCGTGCCTTTCAGTTATAATCCGTGTAAAATAAATATTGTGATACACATTCTTATGTGAAAAGTCTCATCTTTAAAATGGCATCGCTAAATTTATTAGTATATGACCGCAAATTGTTTATTTTTAACAATGAACAAGAAAAAATGCAGATTATCGACTTTTGTTAAAGAATTTTTTAACTATGTTCTCGGTACTTTCTAACTCATCAGGATGCGGAATCCGAAAGTTGTACTTCACAAATATACTTCGAGATACTTTGATTTTTATTGTTAATCAATCCAATATAGCGTCCGAACGCCCGAGATTATTGCAAAATCATAGTAATATGTACCTTTGAAGTCTAATCAAAATTTTAGAGTGCTAAATGACTTTTTTAAGTTTTAAAACAATAAATTTGATGCATATTAAGAAAATTAGCACAGATAAATGATTTTTTAAATCGTAACCGCGGCGAGTCAGCTAAAATAACGTATTTACATAGTTTTATAGCCACTGTTTAATCTTCAATTCTCTTTATTCAATAGTTTATAAACTCTCAGGATTATTAGATCTGAATTCATTATTAGCTTATCAAAATTTAAAATGGTGGATCCAATACTGCGGACCGAAAACTCAAAAATAACAATTCAGAAAAATAAAAAATACTATCATATTCAACGTTAAATTTGAAATAAAAATACTTCTATTCGTTTTCTCGCTTAAAGCCGCTATCCTGTATCTGTGGAACTTTTATTATCCAATCTAGGATAAGATTACCTTTCAGAAGTTGTGAGATATATACAAACTTGGATACATTATATTAAAGAATAAATTCATAAAAATAACATTGCCATTATAGCTACTGAAATAATTTTGTGACCAAATGTTCTCCGAAGTTCAGCATTCATAAACGTAAGATGGTAATTCGTAAATTTAAAAGAAAATCTATATGAAAACTACGGTCTTCAAGAGAATTTATTTCCTTGTAATTGGGAAACTCCAATTTCTGATATTTTCATAACTTTTGATTTAATTACGGCGGCTTTGAGCAAGAAAATGAATAGAAGTATTTTGATTTCAAATTTTACGTTGAATATGATAGTATTTTTTATTTTTCCTGAATCGTTATTTTTGAGTTTTCGGTCCGCCGTTTTTAATGTTGATAAGCTAATAATGAATTCAGATTTAATAGTTCTGAAAGCTTATAAAACTATTGAATAAAGAGGATTGAAGACTATACAGTGGCTATAAAGCAGTGTAAATATGTTATTTTAACTGACTCATCGTGGCTACAATTTGGAAAATCTTTTGTTTGTCCTAATTTTGCTAATATGCATCCAATCTGTTGTTACAAAACTCAGAAAAGTCATTTTGCCCACTAAAACTTGATTAGACTTCAGAAGTGCATATTACTATAATTTTGAAATAGTTTCGGGCCTTCGGACGCCATTTTAGATTGATCAAAGATACACGTGCGCGAGAGAAAAATATGAAGTTGTCAAAGTGATATACATAGGCGGCGCTCAAAAAAGAACCATCGTTTTTCCGCTTTGTCGGGCGCTGCTCAAATTTTTTTGTTCTTCCTATCAGTCGCCGTTGCTACGGCGCGATAATGCTTTGGGCCTTTACGCGCGCATAGTTCCTCAACGTTCCTACTCTCCTGGTCCATGCGGTCTTGCTGGCTCTCCGCTCACCAACAATCGGCTAAGGATTAACTATGTGCTGACCCTTTTCGTATGTGAGGGCCCAACAGTATTGTAGTCACGTGCGTACTGCGGGGAACACAGCCTCCAGGGCTAAACCCGCAGCTGTAACTTAGCGATGCAGCACGGTGGTGCACAATGCACGGCATGTAGGCGCATACACTGAGAGAGTTGCATCTACAATTTGCCGCAGCATGTCATGCGATCAATTGCATTTGCAACTTATAGCACGCATTCAGTCCTTTACATACCTTAAACGTTATGATCTAATAACATAGATTATCGCAGTTCAAATTTCTATACGTCGCATCTTTTCGTTACGCTTAAAAATTTTCCTTTCCATTTACACTTTACCTTTTTTCTGAGTCGCAGCGCAACGTCGCTAATCACTGGATGAGCAACCTTGAGAACATGTTTTTTACTACGCGAACATGTTGAACCTCGCATGCTCGTTTAGAAATGTCTTATTACCATAGCCGCTATCACAAAGCATTGATCGGACACACATGTGTGTTGAAAATTTTATTATTCAACATGACGTCCACACACTGCGTGCAGTGATGACTGTGCGCACTCATAGCAGGGAGCATGAGAATCGCATTGACAGCCTTAGTAAAGTGCTCTACGCAGCCGAGAGCGGTAAACATGATGCATCGCACGTATACGACGCACTTTAATTTAAGACAGTCAATGTGGTTCTTTGACGCCTGCTGAGGGCGCAGCATCACCCCTTTTACGGGTATGCGTGGAAAAATCGTATATTCGTACACCACGGGAGGACATTGCAACCTTGTCCACCTCGTTCTCCCGTTGTGGTTTCCATGGGGCTGAAACACTTTAATGAAGTGATAGAAAGAGGTTTATTTTCATGAACCTACAAGTTTAAATAAGATGTTAGAAGTAACCTTAATCATTAAAACATATTTATGCTTAGCTTAATGTACATAGCTTTTAGTTCAAGTCTAATTGTATTTTCAGATAAATCAATTCCTGTGATGCTAGGACTAATTTATTTTCATCCAATATTTGTGCAAAAGATATTTGAAGATGTGAGAAAGAATCGTTTCATTCATTAGTCTCATCAACTCCATTTGTAATGAACTAGCGCAAATTTTCATTGCGATTCCTGATCGCTCAAATGTGCACATATACGTAGGCGAGGGCGCCACCGCAAAGCTTGTATAATTACTGCGCACGAGAGATTATTAATTAATTCTGGCTTTCAGCCGTCGTCGTTTACTCTCTACATTACGCGCGGTTTGGAAATAATTACAGGTGTACGAAATGTACGTAGCTGGTTACAAGTTCAAGGTACTCTCACCGGTGTTCACTGTCCATTGGGGCTTGCAGACGCGTAAGAGTCGGCCAGCATGGCGAGAGCGACAGAACAGCGTCAATCGCAAACACTTTGAAGTCTTCAAGAAGGAGGTGTTTGCGCGATATACTCGAGATCCACTCAAGATGATCAAAAATCCTCGCTGATAGCAACAATGTTTTTGTCAATCAATGGCCTGATGCACATTCCTTTACACGCATCCTATCGATATTCTCTTGGTGCTGATACCCATCGAGTAAGTGAATTTTTCTTTTTTCCATTGGTTCGCCAATTGTACGCATGGATTATACGTAATTTTTCTTTTTAGAAGGAAATTGTAAAATCTTTTTTTTTGGCTTATCAAATTGGCAATCGAAATTGGTAAGCAGTCATTGATAAGGAATAAAAAAATCTTGATGCAATTGTTAACACGTTGAAAAATGAAATAGCAAATTTACGAAATGATCTAACATAGCACAATAACTAAACTAAAAGATAACGAAAAATATCACTAATTAAATGAAATAACATGTAATGAATAGATATTACGAAGACATTGAAACTTGGAATAAAGGGTTAAATAAATATTAGCGCAACGAAAACAGTATTCTTCTATAACTCGATTTTTTGACAATACTTTTTACTGTCCTTTCAGAAAAAATAACTCATTGATCTTCAAATTATGTCACTTTTCTTCTTTGAAATTTTTATCAATATTATATATTATATGTCTAATTATTTATTTAAGATGAAATCTTAACACGAAAGCTTTTCAACACTTTTACAATTTTTGTACCGTACAATTTATAGTAATTTTAATAAGTTTAGTTGATAAGCCTGACAGACGCAATACTTATTGCGAATAAAAATGTTATACGGAAAAATGTGTTAGGAAATATAGAAATCTGGCGCATTTAATCTTATTGGCAGAGTACATTAATGTGCCAAACAAAATATATTCTGTTGTGGACAGCGTAAGATAATTATACATGTAATTCGTAAACTTTTTTCTGAACATTAATGAAAATATCGATCCAATCATTGTTTATCCACATAAAGTATGAATTTCATGTAATATAAAAGAAACATTTGATGCTTTTGAAATTACTTTCATTTTGTTTCGAACGCATTGCATTTTTGGATAATGTGTGGGTTTTTAAAGCTGTAAAGATCGAAAGATGTTTTATATGAAAATTTTTACGAATGTGTACAAAAACAAAAGTTGATAGCGGAATCTTGCGATTGCTTATTATGCATTTTTATAAATTTGTGAAGATGTTAAGTGTATCGACGACTTACGTGGCTGAGAAATAAAAGTTATAACTTCTATTGTGTTAATTACGTATTAATGTTTTTCTTTCCCTGTACATTTATTTACTTTATACAAAAATTATAATCTTCTTTTCCGATTGAAAAATTGAGACTTGCATTCATCTTTTATTGCTAAGATAATAATTTTTCACTTCTTTGTTTACTTCATATTTTTGAAGTGATTTGCAAGATGTGAAAACTACTTGCAAAGTACCTAAAATAAAAGATTTACTTTACCTTCAATTGTAGTTGTAAATTTGCTAAAAGAAACTTCTTTTTTTTGTAATGGTAAAGACTGTGCGAAAGTACTTGAGTGTTTAAGCTTGAGACTGCGGAAACACTGCAGTCCTGAAAGGCCGTTGCTGGATTGAATAAAGAAGACACTTGAGTTTTGTTTATATATTGATTTTGCTACTTGACGAAAAAATATTGTCTATTTCAAAACAGTGGAATATCGCGGAGAGTAAAGATAATTCCACTCTTTTTGTCAATTTAATTAAAATGTATGATAAGTTATGATAAATTTGAATTATAATATAATAATTTGTTCGATCTACTACTTTAACAAAAGTATTTTGAAAATATAACGAATGTTGGACTATAATATTATCACAAATAGTATTAACGTCACAATATCCATGTTCTCAAAGTTATCTTATTAATACTGTTATATTATAAACAATATTAGATAGTCCAATATTTTTATTACAAATTCATTGATCATAATATATAGAAAATTTTAAGTAACAAATTTTTCATATTATTTTATTACTAGTGATAAAATGATTAAAAATCGAATTTGAACGGATGAAATTTTATATTTTATACTCATATAACTTCATTTTAGTAAACAAATTCAATCGTCATTTCATTAATCTTGAAAATTAACAGTTGTTTTTTAAAGCGATCATTATTAACAAAAGTACTGTGTTTCAATAATAAACTGTTTCAAAAAAGACTAATGTGTAGAGGTACTTAGTGTACCACGGCAGCGTTCCACGTTAACGTAGTTCTTAATGGAATAATAAAAACAATAACTACAATTAAGAAAACAACATCTATCATTTTATTTATAAATTCTTTTTTTATTTTCGCTGCCATTGCAAAACGCTTGCTTGAAAATTTAATTTGTGATGCAATATATTTAATGATCCATATCTTGATACTTTTAAAAACAAACGATCTGTATAAGAAGAAAAATAGTTCCTAGGTATGTATCATTTGAGTAACTTGTAATATAAAAGCAATGGACTTATACAAATGTAACTGAACAAAATAATATCAGTGTACATCGAATTTTGATGCCCATGAAATCTTATAAAAACACATTTACAAATTCACCCAACTAACACTCAGATATTATTAGGTCAAAGTAATAATAAGAAGTATTAATTTCATATTTAGTCGAAAAACAAGGAAGAACAGAATAAAAGTTATCTGACACGTGGAAAAGTCGTTGTAAAAAAGCAAAGCTTAGTAAAAATTTTAATAAAAGCAACATGATCATATTATGTAGGCCGACAATGTCCAAAATGAACTCCTATATAGCCCAACTAACAGCAGCAGCGCTATATATATAAAAGAGCATAAACAAGCAATCGTTCAAATTCGCAACAAAACGTATGTAGTGTCAGCTGTTGTCGGTGAACGCGAGAGACGTTAAGGGAAGAGGCGGATTCACTGCGGTACGGTTGCTGGTTTAATTTCCTCCGACTGAAGTCACGTAGGTGGTTGTATTTGGGTGGGATATAAAGGAAGAAAGATGGAACAGCCCGAGAGAAAGGTAGGGAAAAATAAGCTCGGCGAGAACGAGGGATAAATGGAAGAGGTAAATGTACAAGCTCGGCCACCCCGTAAAACGTAATAATGTTTTTACTCTCGCAAGCTCTCTCCGCCCCCCCCCTCCTCACTTTTTCTCTCTGATACGAGAGAGCATCTCTCTGTGACTAAATTATTAGATTTTTGCTTTGCGTTTCTTTATACCCTTGGCATTTCGTTGCTTTCTTTACTTTTTTTGTTTGTTTACTTTTTTCTTCCTTTTTTTCTTTTTTGAAGCTACGAAAGTAACTTAACTTCTTTTTGTTCTCCATTTGTTTCTTTGGACACCGTGTGCGTCGCTTCTGTTTTTCGCGTTTACGCTATCCAATCTTAGCCTTCGTGAGTAATTCTGATCTTACTACCACCGAAAAACTTCTTTTTGTTTAGTATTTTAAATGACTATGGCTCGGCAGAGCTTTAATTCTTACGAGAGTGACATCGCTTTATTCTTAACAACGTTGCATGCTTATGATCACGTTTTATGCTCTTTCTTAAGCAAATTTCTTATTCACGAGCTAAGCTTGAGTCGAGCAGAACTTGATACCTTTGGATACGTTTAATTGTAAATATCTTTTGGATTGGTCGAGTATATTTTTCATAAGTAAGTTTTAATTGTACTAATTGAATGTCACTTATATTGTAATAATTTAATGACAAAAGTGAATGTCAATCGATATGAGATTCTAATCAAATTTACCTAGTTTTCAAGAAATTTTTTTTTGGATAAAGGATTTTAGGTCTTCCAAGTTGGCCTTGGCATATTAATTATTTATTCTACGTCATTATATGAACGTTTAGAATCTCAGCAAAACATTTTTATAAAGTACGGTTCATTTCACGGCTTATACTAGTCAAAAATGAGATGATGAAAAAAATGTTATAACAAGTTTTAAAGAGCTTCAATTACTCAAGAAAATTCTTCTGCGAACAGTTATTTTGATAAAAATAGAATGATCCTAAAATTTTTGTTAATTTGTGCACGAAAACTAGCTTAATTAACATATGCGTATAAAATGAGATAAAGGCATTGAAAAAAATTAAGCTCTCTAGGCAGCAGGTAACAAGAGTCTTGGTTAAAAGAGTTAATTAATTAATTTTGACCTGAAATCTACCTGAAGCCTTGCGAATGTGATTGTTATAATACTATTATTTAGAATGGGAAATAAAAAATATGTAAATGAAGAAAGTTACATTTGTATTGTGAAATATTGATGTGAGAGAAACTTTGTATCCATCTTTTTTATTCATTTCTCATCATTACCTATCTACTTATTTTAATAAGCAGTAAAAGTTCTATTTTACGGAAAAGCATGTAGAGATTTCGAAACGACCGATGCGCTGCTGCCCTTCGTCATTTACGTCATTTAAGGCCTTACTCCACACTCAGAATTAATGCCACACTTTCCTTTTCCTTTTTTTATTATAAACCTGCGCTTCAGTTTGGGGTGAGACGCTTCTACGTCTCTTTTTCAAAAACACAAATACTCGCAATCGTAAATTACGCGCATTCGGCATTCGACACTCCATCGCTTCTCTCACGTGTAGTGTAGATTTCTAAACCCTAAATTATCGAAAACGTTACGAATTACCGTGCTGAAATTACTTCAAGGAATTTCAATGCCGCCTTCGTCAATGTTGCATTTGATAATCATCCGAACGCGAATCGGTTATTTCTCCGCAAATTACACTAAAATAACGTGCTATTACTATCCGCAATGAAAGCTATCGGTTTTCAATCGATTCTACCCACAGTAGCAGCGTCGCTAGACTAGCACCTGGGTCAACTAACAAGTACATAGCAAGAGCTATATAGATGAAATCGCCAAGGGAGAGTTTCCAAAAGCGACTCAATAGTCGATTAATTCAGGCAAATCCCAACAAGATCGTCCTCCGTCGCTTCTGTAATCCTTATCTAATCTACATGCGTATTTTTTCAACACTACTTTTCCTTCTTCTTTCCACTTTTATTTTTCCATCAAATATTTGCTACACTAGTGAGAGATGCGGGTAATCACAAGTTTCCAGACTAAGAGAGTCAGAAAAGACGTTTCCAGTCGACAGGATTGTCGCCCGGATTACGCGGCTAATTTCCAGAGTGCTCAGGATTCCGTCGCAGCGCCTAATTTATGTGAATCGCGCGGGCGCTATATACTACGCCCGTCAGCCGTAATCCCGCATTAGACATCGATTGCGAGCATGGCGACCATTCTTCCGTTGGGCGTGTTATCCCACCGCGAATCTCATTCGTGCTTGCGATATGCGAGCATTTTTGGCATCAAAATGCGAGCATTACATCAGTCAAATTGTCAGCTTTTCATTTCCGTTAGATCGCGAATGTTCGTGTAATTTCATGCATGAGCCTTTTGTATTTTCAATGCTCATTGTTGATCGATAGCATTCCACGTATCGGTCGATACACCAAAATCGAATCACAGTCATCATTTGCTTTCAATTTGTCTCACTTTAAATATAGGACTACATTTTAGAGTGTTATCAATGTCTCAGAAATCGAAGAAGCTGCCAGGCCAAACCTGAATATTTTACCTGATTTCTTTTCGAGATACGTGCAATAAGAGATTTCTTTTTTTGGTGTCATCAATTTTTCATTCCTTATTTTTTCCGATTACCACTTGGCGCAGCAATAAATTGTTTATTTCAATCAGTTGTCATTACTCAATTCAATTAATTTCGATAATTCAAATTTAAGCGTGTAAATGAATACTTTTGTGTTACAAATTTTATCACTCAATTGAATGAAAACTTTTTACTGTGTCTATTTTTAAATATTCGAGAAAAATTGACTTTGTGACGTCGAACGGATATTGAGTACAGCAGTTATGATGAGCATTTTGTATATTTGAAAGCAAATATATACATCTACAGTGCATGGTCGATTTTTTCATTAATGTTTCATTGTATCCAATGAAGATTGACAAGCGGTGTACATGAATATCTTTCACTAATTACGATTGAAAATAGATGATATATACAGTCTTTACTTGAGAGAACCATTCTAATAAATAACTCATAGCCACAGTTCCTTAAACTTTCGAAAAGGGAATGAGGAGAGAGAGAGAGAGAGAGAGAGAGAGAGAATTTCAACACTCCATTTCGCCTTGTCAAACTAATAAATTATGAAAGCGTACGCCTCTAATTCGCGCACATATACATAGTTAATTAA